GAATGAAAGCAGAGGGATTGGACGTCCACAGTAGAAACAAGACAGCTAGGTCCAGGAAACTGGAGGCTGCAAAAATACTGGTGGGTGCAGGAAGAACCATAGATGTAAAGGGAAAAAAAACTAAACAGACTTGAAGTAGGAAGAAATCAATTCCATGAGGAACAAGTAAGCTGGAAAGATGGGTCTACCAGCACAGCCCTGTCAGTGGATCTTGGGAAGGGATTTAAGGCTATTTGGATGAGGTTTGGTGTCATGGGGAGAAGAGTTCCAGAAAAGATTAGATCTGTATTAGTCTTGGGAACAATGGATTGATGTTCTAGTGGGCGGGGAGGGCCATGGTCCATGAGTGAGATAAGAGGGGTATCGGTGAGTTGGCAAACAGCCTTAGTTAGTAGAGGTCCATAAACCAGACAGTAACAGCAAATCCATCTCAGCAGGTAAAGCTGCTTCCTCCTCACATTAACATACCCTTTTTCACCTTTTTACTAGTGTTACTGTATTTGCAGGAATATCCAAACCAATCTTCGTCACTAACTTAACATTCATTTGCCTGATGCCTCCTTAACTCCCAAGAAAGTTGGCATTGGAAGAATTTCCAATGAGCTCCCTTTCTTTTATCTAATTTGTAATTGAAGATCAGAACAGCCAGTTTGTAGTGCCATAAAAAAAAATTGAGCTTCCCTCACACTTGTTCACAATAGATTTTAAAGGCAAAAAATGTAATCTCAGTGCAAAAGCCAAAAAGTTGAGCCACGTATTCATTGTAAATGAAAACAAAACATTAAAGGTGGAATGGTTCTGTACATGTTGCGATCAAACTCCTTTTCATTAATTTCTATATAAAGAATTTTCAGTGATTTTTTTTCCAGTGTCAACAACAGAGAACTAAAGTATTGCAGACAACACATAATATATCAATCCTATGACACAAGTACTTATACAGAACTGAGCAGAAAATTACTAACTGCTGCTGAGGACCACAGGAGTGCAATACCTTAGGGATAATCCCTTTATAATGGAAGCATTCAGGCACTTTTCACAGTTAAATACACTGGTGCTTGGAGGTCATAGAATGGAATGTAATAAAAGAGGCTATAGAGGATCAATGCAAAAAAAAACCCTGTTTCCTGTTGGGTATTTCAAAGTAGAATGTATTATCACTTGTTTTACAAGATTACAACATAACTTGACCACCTTTGGGATTGATTTATATTAGTCTCTATGAACTTCTTGCATAAGCCACGGTTTCTGAACTATTAACATATTGTTGCAACTGATTGTTATTAAAGCTATGTAGAGATTCTCATGGTTCTGTTTTCCATGCTTTTGCCCAAGTGTACAGGAATAATTACTGTAGGTGGGACTGCTTTGGGTTATTCCTGCTCTCGGCAAGGCTGCTGCCATATTCAATGGACCCTTCACATGGGCAGTAAAGGTGTCTGTCTTTCAATATTCATGGTTTCAAAAGGTACCATGCATGATCTACCCAAAGAAAGCAGATATTGATCAGTCTAATGAATCATTTTCCAGTTCTCCATTAGGCCAACCAGAGAAAACTACGGACAAGTTGCTTTAGAAGTTTTATGGAGTCATGAGGACATGAATGTATTATCAGAATATAATGCAATGAAAAAAGTGTGAGTGAAGCCAACTTTGGTATGGAAAGGAAACAAAAGGAATTGTGGTTTATATTGGAAACTATGGTATGGAAGGAGACAATGATATGGAAGGAAACAAAATTGAGACGGTATTTACTATTCATAGATAGATTGAAGAATGGTACATGGAAGCTAGTAATCTCAAATTACCACTCAGTGCTAGCTCTAGTCAGTCTCAGAGGTTAAATGAGTGTTTCAAGAGACAGAATAAGAAGGAAGGGCTCAGATTTCAGAGATAATGGGACAAGTTCTGGGGCAGCACTGATCTGGACATGATGGATGAGCCTCTCCTGAGCAATGTTAATGTTCTCAATAGGGCAGCAATTAGTGCTACAGTTGAGAGGGAAAACTCAGATGGAAGGAGAGGAGAGAAGAGAAAAAGAAGATGAGGGAGCAAAAACGAAAACCAATGCAACAAGTGAAGGAGAGATCAAAGATCAGAAGGTAGGATTACAACAACAAATTGCATTTCAAAAGCAACTTTTTGATAATCAAACGGTCTAAGGTACTTCACAGGGACAACATAAAAGATATATCACATTGAACCACACGTCAATATTTGGTTAACTAACTGAAAGCTTGATCAAAGAGGTTAGTTTTAAAGTGTATATTAAAGGAGAGAAATGAGGTAAAGCTGGAAAGCTGCAGGGAGGGAATTCCAAACTTTTGGATGTGGCAACTTAAGGCATGGCCACAAATGATGCAGCAATTAAAATCAGCAACGGTCAAGTAGTCAGACTTATCTAAGTCACAATGTCTCCCAGGTTTGTGGCCTTGGAGGAGGTTACAGACACAGTGAGGGGCAAGACCATGAAGAGATTTGAAAACACAAATGAGAATTTTAAAAATGAGATGTTGCTTAACTGGGAGCTGAGATAAGTCAGTGAACTCAGGCATGATGTGGGAATAGAACTCGAACATAAAGACAGAACTAAAAGTGTTGAGATAATGTCAGGTACACCGACGGTAGAATGTGGAAGCGTGCTCAGGAATGTGTTGGAATACTTAGATTTGGAGGTAACCAAAGCATGATGCAGGTTTCTGCAACAGATGAATTGAAGGAGAGGCAAAGTTGGGATATTTTGGATTAATGATGTAATGGATACAGACACAGTACAGAAAAGTGGCATTGAGATGGATGATCAGCTGTGGTCCGAGTAACTAGCTGTGCAGGATCAAAGGGCTGAATGGCCTATTCCCGCCTCGATGTTTCTACATTACCAGGATATTATTAGCTGGTTTTTGTGATGGTGAATCATGTGGTAGAATATTTATCTTGGTCTCAAACAAGGGACCAAGGTTGCAAACCAAGTAGCTAGATTCAGCAAGTTGGCAGGGAGAGGGATGGAGTCAATGACTGGAAAGTAGATTTTGGGGTGGAGACTCCAGGTAATAGTTTAGGTTATCCCAATATTTAATTAGAAACACTTTCTGCTCATCCAGTACTGGATGTCAGTCAAACAGTCCACATGTCAGTTGCTAATTGACCACTATCATTTATAATGGGGTATATCTAGATTGTAGACATCTCTTGGTTGTGGGAACACTCAGCTCTGTCTATCACATTATGCCTCCACTAAATGGCATGCAACTAGTCCTGTACTGAAGCTTCACCAGGTTGGCACCCTCATTCCTGGGGCTGCTCTTGGCATTTACTCTTGCAGTCTTCATTGAACTACAGTTGATTCATTGGGCCTGATGATAACGGCAGAGTTGGGGATATGCCAGGTAATGAGATTACAGATTGTCATTAAGAGCAATTCTGCTGCTGCTGATAACCTACAGTGCCTTAAGAATGCCTAGTTTTGAGTTTCAAGATTGATCCCATTTAGCAAGCTAGTAGGGCAATTAAAAGGTACACGTTGTCAAAATAGAGTGTGAAAAGCAATTGGCCCAAAGATTAAAAGAACTGGATATATCTCTAAAAATACATCCAAAAGCAAGAACTGCCACTGTTCTGAATTCTTAAATTATTTTGGAAATATCAAGAACTGACAATGACAGACTTAGAACAGCACACTCAATTGAAACAAATTATACAAAAACTATTACCCTTTTTAATGTTTAAATGCAAAGCACTGTGCTGAGATACATCAGAATTCTGGCCCAACTGAGCTTCCTTTGGTTTGGAAAAGAGCCTGGCTGTTGAAGGAAGTGGTGTTGAGTTGAATAATCAGATTAGGTCTGTTTAATACTCAGAATGTGTATGGTCTGGCAGGGAGGACAAGCAGGAAAGTTCAAGGGGCAGAGAGGAAACAGAGCCTGGGCTGGTCTAATGGGTCAGCAGTTTTGAAGGAATACGTAAAATTTCATCTGCTCGCAATCCACCTGAAATTTTAGTGAGCTTGAGGGGAGAGCGTTGAGTCGCTTGACTGTCCTTATGCTTATTGAGGAGCTTAGATGGCTAATTGATAGAATAAAACATGTCGCAATTACAGAAATAATGACTATTAGATTGGTTGGCAAGTTCTTTCAGGAGGGACTTCATCCTGAGACAGGGCAGAAGTTGCACCTTAAAGCAAGTGATGTTCCTCTTAGTGTTAAATTGCTGTAGGGCAGCTGTTGGGTTCATGGTTGGGCTTCCTTCCCTTATTTTTTAGCTGGGGGAAGATTTTGATAGTGTTGTCCTGTAAAATCCAAGCTCTTGTGTTTGTTAAAAGTATATGTGAGGGAGGAATATTGGCCAGGAGGTGGGAGACCTCCCTGGTTTTCTTTACTACTCTTGATGTCTGACTGACAGCAGAGTGTTTGTTAACAATACATGTAGGAAAAAAAAGGTAACAAATCCATTCCACAGAATTTCATTGAAATGTCAATTTAGATTACACATTCAGTGTATCGTGGGAGAAACAGAATTCATTCACAGAGATTATTCAGACAGAATGCAACACCATTATATTTTTGGTGGCAGAATTTTTTTTACAGCAAGTCTTCAAAGCCCTTGGAGATGATAGTAGTTATACATTCTGCTTGTAGCTCACTGTGAGTTTTGAGGATTGGCACAGAGTTTTTGCAGCTATCATTAAGTTTACAACCTATCCTTTGTAGTAATTTCTCTGCACTAAACAACTTTAGACTTTGACAAATTGGCAAACAATGGGCAGTAGTTCTGCAATTCTTGTAATCACCAGGTAACTGACATGAGTTCAAAAGAGGCTAACAAGCTGAATTAGACACAGACCTCCTTCACCGACATTCTTAAAGCCAGTCAGGAAAGTTTTGGGTTTCCGATGCAACATAATACATTTACTTGGCTGTCAGCATAAAGCAGCAGACGTACTAACTCATGTGAGAAAAAAAAATGTAGCTCATTTATGGTTCATCTTAGCTATGCTTATTTACCTGCCCTGGTTGTTCACAGGCTGTCTGGTACTTTGCCTGTTGGCACACTTCTTTCACTCTTTCATATTTAGGGAGGTAATTGGTTTGTTGCGCATCACCAGCTCCCTCTTCTTTCTTACGGAGTAACTTGCTGGAAAGAAAGGAGTAACAAAATTTTCTCGTGAACTGGAGAAATGTGGCTTTTCACACTCTGTACTCTAAGAGCAATGCCCAGTTACAACGTAGCAGTGTGGTTTCAACTGCTTTCTTTCAGATAGTATTGACTGAAGATTTATGAGGTTTCCTTAACAGTTGCCACACTACTGCCTAAGGAGCTTTTAACAACAAATATTATAATAAATTTGTCTCCTCTTATTAATTCGACTGCTACATTTCAAAAATAAATCAAATCACTCACTGATATACTTACCTCTGTGGAGAAAACAAACATTCCCAACCCACAGGTCTGCATATTCAACAGTTCAGCCCCCTGCCTTTTTCAATCTTCAACCTTCAGCAGATTCCACATTCAATTTCCACCACCTCTGCTTTGAACATATTTAATAACTGAGCTTCCATATTCCTTTGGGTTAGAAAACTCAGATTCTTCACTCCCTGAGTGCAGACATTCCTCCTCACCTCAGCCCTAAATGGCTTGCATTTCGTACTGAGACTAGTTCTGGATTCTAGACCCTATAGCCTGAGGAAACATCTTTTCAGCATCTATCCTGTCTGTCCCTTGAATAATTTTGTCAGCTTCTCTGAGATCACCTCTCTGAAACCCAGTCTAATGCCTCCACCAAACACATCTTCCCCTCTCCTTCGACATTCCAGAAGCCCCATTCCCTCTGTGACATCCCATGTGACGAGGCTGTGGCTTTACGAGGTTATTTTGTCCTGGTTTTTTCAAAAGAGAGGTTATAAGACAGAGGTGAGAACTGTCTAGTTAGGCCAGTAAAGTAAATAGCTTGTGAGGCTTTGGGTTTTTTTTAAGTTGGAACAATAGAAGCTGCTGGAGTTTTGAAGAAGTAGAAGCTATTTTTCCCCTCTTGGTTACAGCTAGAAACTGGGGAATCTCTTCCTACTGCAGGTGTTACATGTGAGAAAATCTGATTTCTGAATTTTGCCTTTTTGCCAAAGAGATATGTTTATGGGGTGTTACTATATTGGAACAGTTAATTAGTAATAGTTACTGTATCTATTATTCTGTTAAATTTTCCAACAGAGTTAAATAATTCTAAATTCCTCTTTCTTTTGTTGCATTTTAATTATAGTGTTTAAATAAATTGTGTTTTGCTTAATGTCGAGTAGTCTGGCCAGTCCCTGAACACAGCCCTTTACACTTGCCTTTAAAATAAGAAAAAATTAGAGTCTAGGTTACCTTCTTAAAAAATTTTGAGGGGGTCTGGTCTGGTCCACTACACCCACAACAGTGCCCTGTTACCCCTAATATCCCTCTCCTCTCTCATAGTACCTTCTGATATAAGTGCAGGAAATGCAACATCTGCCCCTCTGTGCAGGTCTCCCAACACTTTTTCTGGGGTGAAACAGGAATGTGTTTGCACTTCTTTCAATTTAAAATAATGTATTCTCTGTTTGCAAAGCTAACTCCTCTAAACTGGGGAAACAAAATGGATGTTGGATGGCTGTATAGCTGGAAACCTCCATTTGGGCTACACACAGCTTCTGACTGCCTGCCATTTTAATTCTTGTTCCATTCTCACTCTGCCCTCTTTCTCCTAAGCCTTCTGCAATGTTCCAGTGAAACCTGACTTAAGATGAAGGAATACCACCTCAACTTTGGATTTGGCTCTTCACAACCTTTCGGACTGAACGCCAAGTTCAACAATTACAGATCATAATCTCTGCCTCTATTTCCCTTGTCAACTGTTACTGATTTAACTAAATCCAATTACACCTAACATATGCTGTTTACTTATCCTAATACTTTCTCCTTTGAGTTCCACCACCATTCTTGCTGCCATGCATTCTTGCTTTTCTGATTTTCACAGACATTTCCAAACCTTATTTTCCCACCTTTATTCCTATTGCGAACCTATGACACCTATGACTCTTTTCAGTTCTGATAAAAGGTTACTGACATGAAACATTAACTCTATTTTTCTGTCCATGGGAATGACATGTTTCCACGAATTTTCTGGAAGGGATTCTTTTCTCGCTGACAAAATTATGAAATGTTTAATGCACTCTTCTACATTATCACCTACCGTACTCCGTACACTGAATCTGAGAATCTGCTGCCCTTCTAGTGTGGCTCTGCAGTTGTTTTGGTGAGATTAAAGGAGCAGATATTAAATTGTTTGAAGCAACTAGGTTCTGTTCTAATGTTGAGGTTGTGAGGATTGGATGTGCTGGAACAGAGTTCAGTCCAAAGATGGAATCTGGGTGTGTGTCTAAGGCTAGGCCAGCACTGGGAGGGAAGAGAAGGAAATCAGGTTTTAATAGAGAAAATAAAACATTACAATTATTATTGAAAATAGTAATGGATTATTAGCTTCACAACACCCATGGTTGCTGATTCTGTTCTTGTTATGGCACCATTTTTGGTTGGCTGGGTTCGTAGAGACAGCAAAAATCTCTGTGCCTAACTTATTGCCCCATATGAAATGATGGCTAAGAAATTATGGTTTTGCAACAGGTCAGGAAAAAGTCATCCAGTGCACTCACCTAATACAAGCAGAGGCCTATTAATTTATATAAGTCGGCTCACTTCATGTGCATAGCACCTTGATGCAATTTTACTGTTCCAACAGTAACAAACGTCTCCTACTGCAATGGCATTTATTTCCGCCTAAACAAAATCACCGAAGGCATCACTGGAATAATTTGGATGTTCTTAGGTCCAGGGAGAATATGAATGTCAGCTCTGATCTCACCAAATCGGTTCTGCTCACTGCCAGAACCACTGTAGGTCTCCTGTGGCCACCATCCATTGCCCCCAGATGCTCCCCTAAAAATTAAATAATGCTGGTTCAGGTTGGCAGAAGAGCTGCCAGAATTTCTGGCTGTACTGCTCAATGAATGCTCCAAGCCCTCGAGCAATTTTCTGAGTAAATTTTACTGAGCTCCCCACATTATGAATCAAGTGGGTGAACCTGTTCTCCCCACAACCGACCAGAATCCTGGAGGACAAAGGCATCCAATTACCTGTAGACCAAAACGATACTTTGCTTTGCAAAAACAAAAGGTAAAAAATATGTTCCTATGTATTGGTGAACACACTTTTTTTCTAGATTTAGCAAACTGACCCTTTACATTGATGCTGCGACACAAGAGAGTGTGAAGCAAGTTTTACAGAGCTGAATTTATGTGGTTAACCTCCAAAGAAATCTGCTGGAAACAGGTCAGCTGACTGACGCATACTGCCCAAGTGTCGCAATTACAAACACAGAGATGTGAACATTAACTTTCTGTCAGTAAGACATATGTAACCCTTCACCATGTTAAGATAATTGATACAAGTATCAAGAGTCAATAGTCAACAGTCCTCAGGTAGGAAGTGTATGTGGAATCACAAAAACTGGAGGAAGATAAATCAATGTCTATTACAGCAGTGAGTCCAAGGTTTAGTGTTACTTTCCTGGGGCTTGATTCTCATCAGTGTTCAGCTTTTTTTTTAAGATGGTGAGTCTCAGTTAGACTCCATGAAATATGTGAACTTTCAAGAAACTGAGACATATTCATAGTTAAGATTCCGTCTTTTAGATGGATGCTTTGATTTGTGAGGTTGTTAAAATGCTTACTTATAAAGCAGGAATTAGGCATATTATGACACAGCACACAGTGGGTGATTTAAACTTTGTTGCTGGTTAAGAAAATGGTTTCTCACATATAACTAACTGGGGTTCATTCTAATTCAGCAAGTGATTCAATAAAAGAATAAACTGAATGAGAACGAGCGACAGTACCGCTTCACAAAGAGCTCAAACTGATATTAGTGCATGTTCTGCTATTCCTTTTGTCCTTTTCAGTATTCTTGACAGAACAGTGACTAAAAGGTGCAGTTGGATCTGACTGATTCTTGTTGGATATGAAATTCAACATGAATTAATACAGGCAGCTGAAGGTACATCACTGAGAAAACTACTGAATTCTGCTGATTTTGCTTTCATCTCCTTATACCTCAATCATGCTTCAGTAACTTATTGGTTTTACCAACTCGATTCCCACTCCTGAGGGGATAAGCTACATAAGTTAAGTTTAAAATGAATGTTAAAATGAATGAAAATTATTTGGTACAAATTGTCTTATCATATAGTTCTTACAGCAATTATTGTAATATAAGATTACATCTCTAATACAGAGGGGAAGGTTATTGAAGTGAGAATTGTAAGACTTGTATCAACCAGATAAGAACGGTTGAACTAGGAGCAGAAGTGGGTAATTCAACCCCACGAGCCTGCTCCACCATTTATAATGATAATGGCTGATTTCATCTCATCTCAACCTCAACTCCACTTTCCGGCTTGATCTCCATAGGCCTTCAAAGATCTGTCTATCTGCTTCTTAAATTTACTCAATATCCTGGCATCCACCACACTCTGGGGGAGTGAATTCCACAGATTTGTGATTCTTTGAGAGAAATAATTTCTCCTCATCTCTGTTTTAAATCTGCTGACCTTTATCCTAAAACTATAACCTTTCATTCTAGACTGCCCCACACAAAATATATAACAAAGCAAACAAAAGCCTGCTAGTTAGGTTAGACCAATTCAGTGTATCTTCTTGCTGATTATAGTTACCAAAGATTGAGAAATAAATGTACGTTTGCTATGTCTATCCACATCCACTTTGTCAATTCCCTTTAGCATCTCATACACCTCAATTAGATCTCCTCTCATTCTTCTAAACTCCAGAGAGTATCGGCCTAAACTGCTCAATTTCTCATCATAAGACAAACCCCTGATCTCTGAAATCAATCTAGTGAACCTCCTCTGAACTGCCTCCAATAGAACTACATCCCTTCTCATGTAAGAGGACCAAAAGAAATAAGTGCTAAACGAAACTGTCTTGCCTGCTTTAAACCCCTCCTACACGTAGTTGCTAGGGAAATGGGAGAGATTAAAATTAACTGCTTTGATGTTGTTAACTGGTCAGCCTTTTAAGGATGGCTAATCTTAAAATAAGATCACCCAATTATTTTTCAATCTCTGGCAACTATAATCAGCAACAAGATAACACTGAATTGGTCTAACCTAATTAAAACGCTTTTGTGACCTTTGTTATGTATTTTGTCAATTAATCTAGTCATCTTAACCTGCCAAATAAGATTTGAAGGTTAATAAACCAATGCTAGTCCAAAACTCTTTTACCTGACTTCTTTGATTATTGGCACTCAGTAGTTTGTGGGAGGTTGGTGGCATATTTAGTGGCAGTCTCCTTTCTCCTAAAACAATAGCTTGTCTATGGGGTTGTCAACTCTGTTGAGTGTCACCTAGTGTAGTTCAGGAGCCCCAGTCTGGCACAGCAGTCACTATTTTTGCTGCGAATTGAGAAGCTGCACAACCTGCAGACCCACGTTTTCTCTGGACTCTCTTCCCAGCCATCCAAGCTTCTTGTTTCTGCTGACCTCTTCCAATGCCCTTCCAAACATTCAACCAGCAGAGGCCACAAACACCAGTGAGGCAACCTCCTAGCTGTCAGTGTCAATGATCGCCATCTTCATATCTCACTTGCAGGTGTCCTTGTAGTGAAGGCTTGGAATCAAGAAGATGATGGCCCAGTGGCCAATTACTGAAGAGAGATTCTTAAGCATACGGGCCTCATCTAGCCAGTGGACATGATTGAGCCAGTGCAGATGTCGTTGGCTTAGTGTGAAGAATGCACATTGATGGAATTAACTTGCTGAAGGACCTTTGAGCTTGTGTCCTTGCCCAAGGTTTGTGTCTGATAGAGGCAACAAGGGGAACTATTTTTTCCAAGATGTTCAGTGGGAAAGCTCTTGATAGGAGGTGACGGCTTAGTGGTATTATCTCTAGACTATTAATCCAGAGACCCAGGTAGTGTTCTGGGGATCTGGGTTTGAACTCTGCCATGGAAGAAGATGGAATTTGAATTCAATTTTAAAAATCTGTAATTAAGGGTCTAATGACAACCATGAAATAGTTGTCAGTTGTCGGAAAAGCCCATCTGGTTTACTAACATCCTTTTAGGGAAGGGAATCTGCATCTTTACCTGGCCTGGCCTACATGTGACTCTAGATCCACAGGGATGTAGTTGATGCTCAAACCCCTCTAGGCAATAATGGATGGGCAATAAATGACTCCCACATTCCATGAGTGAATACAAAAAAATATCAGTACAAATGTTGTAGTTGCCTTTGTTCTGGTATAGGGTCATGACCTTTGCATATTCCTGGGGTCAGAAACCTCTCCCTCCATGAAAGAGCTGGGGAATTATCCTCTAAGTCCTGGTCATTATTTGGTGGAGTAGTTAGAAAATAATTGAAGCTGGTAAATTAAAACATATTTGATCATCATTCACTCCTAAGCATGTACTAGAACCAGGTATTTCTGCATAGATCCTTCCATTTTACCACTGTACCTTTGCCAGACATGCAGCAGACAGCTCAGTGACAGATGTAAATGCAATTCCATTACACTTCTCACCAATGTACAATGAGCAAGAAATTCTGAGCCTGATTATTAAATCATGAGTGGTTCCTTAATAATTAGATAAGATGAAGGAATTGAGAATTCATGTGGTACTCTTAATGAATATCTCTGTCAGGGTATTAACTCCAGTGGTTTATGCCCTTTGCACATCTGCAGGCAGAAACCCAAGAACATGAAAGAGGGATGTCTGCCTCACTAACACATCACTTGAATGTCTACTAGTCTCAGCAATGATTTTATGCCTGCTTTTAGAAAATATAGAATGCAATGTTTGTCCAGATGTGCTTCTTAATGAATCATATAGTTAAGTTTTAGAGCTTATTAATGCATTAATAATGACTTTTAAAACCCAGAGTTTCTCTGTCAAATAAATTACATTGGTAATGACCTTGTAGATGCTTTGTAATCAAACAAGACAAAATCTAGTGAACTGAACACAAGCTGTTTGTCAGAGTCAATTCCTTAACGGAAAGTAAGAAAGATTTGCATTCATATCCATGCAACAATGGAAGAATATAATTACTATCAGGTTTAAGACATTTGGAAATTGGAAAAATGCATAATAGTTTTTACTTCTTGTATAGAGCTCTCAACAAAATAATTTTGTTGTCAAAGTATAATGATTGGAAGCATGTATTTCTTGGTGAGGGCAAAGCACTTATATACAATGTCTTGTGTTATATTCTTGATGCACTGTATCTTACCCTCTCTCAATGAGGAATGTGTCACGCCAGATCCTAGCCTTTTTATTTGAACGGAATCTGCAAGAAAAGACATGCTGGATGTTAGATACTAATTTATGAATGGCACTATATGGTGAATATGGTGATGTCATGTCATTGAAAATGCTGGCTGATGTCTACACCATAAACAGTGCATCCAGCAATGACTAATTTAGAGACAGGTAGCTGCTTCAGAAATGGTATCTATTGATGACAGCTGTCTCTCTTTGAAAGGACACACAAAAAATTCATTCAATTCATTCAAAAATTAGCAAGAGTAGGACACCCTGTTCGGAGCTCCTCTGCTCGCTGTCCCTTTCCCTTTTCTTCCCTCTATTTTTTTCTCTCCACTTTGTGGTTTTCCCTTTCTCTCCCACCTCCTTGGTGGAGAGTAGAGTAGCAGAATGGGCATGGACTGAGTCCCGCAACGGACCGGATCGGGCACAGTCCGAGTCCCGCGGTGGACCGTTGTGAGCGGTCCGAGTCCCATGGTAGTCCAGTGCGAGTGGGCTGAGTCCCGCGGTGATCCAGAGCGAGCGGGCTGAGTCCAGCTGTGATCCAGAACGAGCGGGCTGAGTCCTGCGGTGATCCAGAGTGAGCGGGCTGAGTCCTGCGGTGGTCCAGAGCGAGCGGGCTGAGTCCCGCGGTGGTCCAGAGCAAGCGGGCTGAGTCCTGTGGTGGACCTGAGCTGCGGACCAAGCCCAGTGGCGGGCGGAACCAGCGCGGGCAGCGTGGCCTTGTGCTCTGGGACCTGCAGGCACGCCCCGTGAGCCCCAGAACATCGCAAGCGGTGAGCCCTGGAGCAGCACATGGGCTGCGAGCTCAGAGCAGCGTGGGGAAAAAGCCCCATTGCCGCACGTGGGAAGCAGCCCCAGAGCAGCGCACAGGCAGCGAGTCCTGGACGGAGACCAGTGTGAGGGGACAATCCTTACCTTAGAACTTACCCGTAGAACACTGTAATGTTAACCCCTTAATATTTTCCTATGTTTAAGTTATTTTCAAATCTGTAATTAAGCAACTATTTCTATTCCTCTGCTGAATCCAAGAATTGTACCAAGGTACTTGTACCTAAGATGTCACCATAAGAAGGCAGACATTGTAAATTTTTTCACTGTACTCCTACAATGGAGTACACGTGACAATAAAAAGGATATTGTATTGTACATTCTGATTCTTTTTTGTCATGTCAACTAATTTACCATTATTTACAATTATCATCTGCCACAGTTGCTCAAAAATACTGGTTCCTTCAAAATTTGTGGGGGCCACAAAGTTGTAGCAAAATATAGTGAAGTGTGAGATGGATGATACACTCTTGCAGAATATAGACAGGCTGATGAAACAGGCAGACACATGGCAGATGAAATGTAATGTAGCAAAGTGCAAGGTGATATATTTTACTTGAAAGAAGAGGGACTACAAACTAAAGGATATGCTTCTAAAGTGGATACAGAAACAGAGATTCCTGGGAATATATGTAATAAATCATTCAAGTTTGCAGGCAGGTTAGGAACAATGCTAAAAAAAATGCAGTCAAGGTCTTGGACTTTGTAAGTAGAGGCTTCAAATAGGAAAGTGAGTAAATTATAAACCTTTGTAAGACATTGGAACAGCCTGAAGTGGAGAATTGTGTCTAATTCTGGGCAAAGACTTTAAAAGAGATGCTGGAGAAAAAGATTTATAAGAATGGCTCCTGAAGAATTTCATTTATAGGGTAAAATTGGAGAACATCCCATAGAAAGGATTGAATGGAGATTGAATAGAAGCGTTTAAAATCATGAAAGGACAGAGGTCAGATAGCTGAGTTGGTTGCACAGCTGACATGCAATGCAGAATGATGCAACAACATGAGTTCAATTCCTGCAATAGCTGAGGTACCATGAAGGACTTACCTTCTCAACTTCTTCTCTCACTGAAGCATGGTAACCCTCAGGTTAAACTATGACCAGTCATCTCTCTCTCTCTAGTGCAAGAGCAGCCTTATGGTCTGGTAAAAATCAGGTTACTTTACCTTTATAGACTGGGAAAAATATTCCCATTGGAGGAAGGATCAAAAATAAGGAACTAACAGTTTAAAACAATTGGTAAAAAAATCCAAAGCCGACATGAAAGAAATGTCCCTGGGGAGCAAGTGGTGATGATCTGGAATGCACTGCCTGAGAATGGGGTGGAGGCAGGCTCAATCAATCACTTTTTCAGTTACTATAGGTTATTGCCCTGGATCATCTACAGACATGTCAAATTTTTAAATTCCAACACGTTTTTCTTTGAAAGAGGACTGATACAGCCAAAATTACTGAAGATGTAATTCCAGTGGGTTCCTGGAGAGGAACTCTGGAATGTAACATATGCAGGTGTCAAATAAACTTCAGAGGCGGAAAAATACACACAAATTGAACTATAATCTCCTGGGAGTTATGTTCCGTCCCCATTCAAGAATACATAGTCTGGAGAATGGCCTGTGTATGCTAGTAGAAGGTGGTGTGTTGGTGAGCCGAGTTACTCGTGTACTAGCCTTGTTTCGAGTGCTAGTTTACAGTGAAGGTCACAGTCAAAGAACTACTTACTGGTCACCCTGGGTTGCAGAAACAAAGGACTCTTTTGCTCCGAGTGCTAGAAGCCAGAAAGACAGTCAGAAGGAAAGAGGACAAAAAGATTTCAACTGAACTGCAAAGCTAAGAATCTTGAAATCAACTACTAGGCTATCAAGCTTCCACCCTCTACTCTTCAAGAATGACCCACTGAGACTGACCCATATATTGTTTAACTTATTATTTCTTCTCATGTTTAGTAACTAATAAACTCACTTTTTAATTAACTTAGCAAAGCCTGTTTAATTTGGCTCCTTTTAAAACAAATTCTGAGAGAAAGGAATCCACGCGGAAAGGGATCCTTTGTAAATTATCCTTGTTGTGTCCAACTGAGAAGATGAGTGAATAAAAATAGAGGGAATTAGTTCATCCCTCCTCACCGGGGAGCTTTACAATTTGGGTATCCACCCAGAACCATCATAATTTGGGGACATCCCCCTGGGGGACTAGTAATAATATTCCTGAAGGGACAAAATGTATACACTACAAGTGCAGATGAGTGGTACAGCTAAATTGCTCCTTTACAGATTCAATATCAGTAATGTAAACAGAAATTGCTGGAGAAATTCAGGAGATCTGGCAGCATCAGTGGAAAGAAAGCAGAGTTAACGTTTCAGATCCAGTGACCCTTGCTCAGAACCAGAAATGTTAACTATGTTTTCTCCCTACAGATGCTGCCAGACCTGGCGAGTTTCTCCAGCAATTTCTTTTGTTCCAGATTTCCAGTATCCACAAGTCTTTGCTTTATTTTCGTGTCTATATCATTGTTCTTTAGTATTCCCTTCTGGCTGCTATTTTATCATCAAAATCTTACTGCACTGTACATCAGATGGTAGGACCAATCATTTTGGCTGACCTGTTCCTTGGTTTCTCAGATTCCAATAGTTTCAGTATAGACTTGCCGTCCATATCTGGTGGAACATCAAGTCCTGCAATATCCAAGATGGTGGGAGCGAGGTCAATATTCAGAACCAGTTGAGGAATACTGTTAAAATAAACACAACCAAAATAATGGAACACCGTGAGCTAAACAAAATGTATCTGATTTCTTACACATAGAAGCATGACTTAAACTAAACAGAAAGGGCTAACATCACTTAAATATGGATTTGAAAGGAAGCAATTTCTTTTAACTGTTGAACTCTGTTTTAATATTTAATGTTAAAAATTTCCATCACAATAGAGACATAACATTACCAGCACAAATAAAAAGTAGTTAAATCATCACATCTACAATGTTTGAACTATTCAGCTGAAGCAATCTGCAGTATATAAAAATGTGCCTGTCTTTTGGCATTCTGCCTTTTCAAATAATTATCCAAATTTGTCTGAAAATAATATTTTATGGGCAGATTTTCTTCTGCCCTTCTTCCATCTCTGAGCTCCTGTTGATTGTTGCATTTTTCTGTCCCAAGTCAGTTACAGGACACCTCTTGCAGAAGCCTCAGTCCCCAGTCTACAGCCATCAGCAGGACGCAGGAAAATATCAGAGCTATCTGTTTCTCAGGTGCCTTAGCCTCTGTGAGACTGAACATTTCAGGCAATACTCTCTGGGATCTCAGCAGAGATCCAGAGTGGCATATACCTTGGGAACCTCGGTCCTAGACCAGCCAATGAGCGAATCAAAAAATGCACCAAGAGGTCAGGATTCACTCATCCATATCCCCACACCCCAACTCATCAATATTTCTGCTTTGCATCTGTGGTCAGGCCACAAAAATCCAGGGAAGTCCTGACAAGCACTGTCCAGTTGTCACCCCCTCTTCCTGACCTTTGTATATGGGATGTCAGGATGCTGGTTAGCTCATTTGGCTGGAAGACTGGTTTACAATGCAGAGGGATGGCAACAAAGTTCAATTCCCACACTGGCTGAGGTTATTGTGATGATCCTGCTTTCATGACCTAGTCCCCTACCTGACGTGTGGAGACCCCCAGGTTAAACTCACCACCAGTTCTGTCTCTCTCTCGAAGGGAGTGGTCCTCTGGGTCTATGGTGACTTTATCTTTATAGGGATTTTAATGATTGAGGCAAAGATCAAAAATTGACTCCATTCTGCCTTACTGTCCACTTGTGGTAAATTATTCCACTTTCCAAAAATCCATTAGGAAAAAAAATTCTGTAATTTACCTTCTTGATCTTCCAGTAATAAAATAAAATCTTTGCTGCCTAGTGTCTGGTTTGCCAACTAGTGAGAACTATCTTTTATTGTTTGCTCTTTCATAAAAACTTGGGCTGATTTTATGCTAGAGATGGTGTCCAGCAACTTGTGCAAAAGTCAGATGTGAGACCATTCACCCCACCTCTGCCAGCATACTCCACTCTCCCAGCATGCTCCGCATGCATTTAATGACTGTCAGTCCATTAATTGGCTTGAGACATAACTTCAGCTCTCCTTGGGACAGCCATCAGCTAATCAAATGACAGCAGTTGTCCCAGAGGGAAATGCGAAACAATGCAGCCAGACTTCAAGACAAGTGCTGGTTCTTACCCGGGCAAAGCTGGCAGGGCCTGGCAACTGGCATCAAAGGGAACAGGGGATCAGGGTTGATAGGACATGTGAAGTAGACATGCTAGCAGGGATTCTCTCCTAGTAAAAAGGGGCTTGAAAAGGAGTCAAACCATCCCTTTCCCCCAACCATTGTCCAGTTAGTGCCTGACACCTGGTGTCAGTTTCCTAGGCCAAGGGCAAGATCCCAGTGGTTGTGGGAGGAGGTTCTTAAGTGACTACTTCAGTGCCTCAATTGGACAATAGGCAAGTGGGTGTCACAATGCTTCCCCTACTGCTGGTAAGGTTGCAGTGGGGCAAGAGGTAGGTGTCAGGAATAGCACTGCTATATGGTACACTACTTTAATAATCCAATCATATGAACTAAGCACGGCAAATGAAGTAGGTGAGTACACACAATGGTATATCAACTTGTATTATTAAAGAATTTGAATTAAAAGTAGATTGTAAACTGTGGATCTGACACATTCATCTGCCACAGGACGTTCTTTCCATTAGTTTTGTTTCATCTTCTTTTCTTACTTTCCTTACTCTGAGATATACACTAGTCACTCACTATACTTACCCTTTATCTCCTCCCCACATGCTTTAAAATATATCTCTCCCTTATTTCGAACCTTTGTTTTGTTGATGGAAAACAGTTTATAGCTGATCACAGCTAGAACATTAATGATTGCTGTTAATATCCTGGACTAAAGGTGAGTTTTAGCTGGCTTTCCCATTGTTATCTTTCTATTGATAATGATGAATATTTGTGGGTATATGTATGGATTGGACTTAAGGTACGATGTCCATTACTAATTAACTTGCTAACTCTCAGTCAAACATAATGAACGACCCATTGAACAAAGCACTGGAAGGCTGTTATCTCTCATGAATCGTTACTCACAGAACGAGCCTCCAGCAAAGCTGAAGGGTGGAATACTGAAAGGTTTACAAATAGCTTTGTTCTTTTTTTGGCCAATTTTCTCCCTTTTACCTCTGACACACTGACTTCAGCTGGGATGCAGATTCGTCAGAGTTGACTGTTCTCTGATATCGCTGGTTTCAAAAATTATATCACATATCAATAATTTTTAAAATTAGTAATTGATGTTTACAATGTTATTCAATAAGTATATTCATCTGTATTTTAGGGATGCTTTGGAGCCTAGTGATTCCAATTTATTTTCATTGGTCATAAACTTTGTAAGGGGTATTTATTTTCCAATTTTCTCACAGGTTTACAACATTTTGATGTTACTTCATGCTTCTAGTAAATTTAACTATCATATTTGTTACCCCCTACTGTACCACAAAGTGTGAAAGGCTGATTAATGGGAAGTGCAAACTGTCAGTTTATAAGACTGCCTCGGTATATATTGTAAAATGGAATCCTCAACTATTCCCAGTCAACTTGAAAATGCCAGAAATAATCCCTTACATTGACCCTGGTTCCACATTTGGTCCACGAACAAAGAAAGGAACCCGGATATCAAAGTCATATGGCATTGATTTTCCCTTTACCAGTCCAAATTGCCCAATGTGGTAACCATGGTCTGCAGTATAGATGACATAGGTGTTGTCCAGTTCCCCAGTCTCTGCAAGCATCTGAAATATCTAAAGCATAATAGAAGTTGTTTCATTATTATTTAAAATGGCTGTAAAAAAGCAAGGGAAATATTTTCATGAAAATTGCTATTCTGTAATATCATTCTTTACCAAGTAGCTGCCGAAAGAGGTAGAGCTGTCTGTCCTCTCTGTATTAATTTTCAAAGGCGTCCTGTTTTCTAGTGTACTTCCACACAAGTTAAATTCCCATTGAATATTAAATGGCTCAATCATGCTACTTACCCTATCCACTGAGTCATCAACTGACATAAGTGTCTGCAGTCTCTTTCTCTGGAGAATGTTGGTAAATTCCATATGGATCGGCCTCATAGCTCCTGTGAACTGCATAATCCAGTGTTTGTCCATGTTTGGAGCATAGTTATAGCTAGGTGTACTAAAATATAACAAAATAAATAAGGTTCAACACAACTGGTTGAAGTTTTTCTCAATTAGCAGTTTATTGCTTTTATATTCAAACTTACTCTTCCCTCTCGTGACCAATATGCTTGTAAAAGAGGAGGACCAGATGATGTCAAGGTCTGTGCTCAATAATTTAGCAGTGGACCAAAACACTATTATTGTGTCATAGTGAGGGGGGACGGTGGGGAGTTGAAGTTAACACATGTAACATAGAAACATAAGAACATAGTAACAAGAGTAGGCCATTCAAATTGCCCCATGAACCTGCTCCACCATTCAACAAGATCAGGCTTTTCTGTGCTTTGGTCCATATTCCTTAATATCTTGGTTTAAAAGAAGTTTATCTCTCTCAGATTTAAAATTAGCAACTGATTCAGTATCCACTGCCATTTGGGGAAAAGAATTCTAACCATCCACCACCCTTTTTGTGTAAAAGTGCTTCCTAACATCTCTCCTGAACAGTCTGGCCCTAATTCTCAGACTGTACCTCCTGATTCTAGAATCTTCTACTGAGTCTCGTTTAACAGAAGTGAGACCAGGGTAAGTGACCAAACTACTTGTGGGAGCAGATCGGTCACTTAATTATTATAATGATGGTCTGTGCCTTTATTTTAACATTTAATTATTTTCAATCATTCTTGGCTGGATTTGCCAGGACTTGTGAAACTCAATGGATTGAAGAAGGCTGTATTGGCTTCTTGCTTGTGGGCCTGGAGGAGGTGGAAAAAAAGGTCTGTTTCTTCCAGACCTGACAACCTACTGACCAGCGCAGAAACAAACAATCTGCCAGGTGTCCCTGGCCACCGTCAGACTCTCCATTAATGATTGGTAGAAAGATTGAGACTCATTCCGAAGTCTTGGTTAGTGTAATACTTTTGTTTATTCTTTCATTTATTACTCACTCATCTATTTCCTTTCCTCACATCTAGGCACTTTACTCATGTAAGCACGACTTCCATTGCAACATAATGTTAGCACTCTAAAACATGCTCACTTTGGGCTTATTCAGGAATCCAACAGGAAACGTCATGAACTCACTCTTTGGATTCAACCTAACATTTCACCCTGCACCTCATATTCCTGTTGCAATCAGCACCAGCACAGATAGAACTTTTCTACTGGGGTCAATTACTGCATTACTGGAAGATGGAACATGTGAAGAGGACAGACACAGTAGTTGGTCATAGAGTCATACAATTCTTCAGCCCATCAAGTCTGTGCCAGTCAAAGTAAGCCACCTAACTACTCCAGTCCCATTTTCTGGCACTTGCTTCATAGCCTGGCATGCCTTGGCATCACAAGTGCATCTGTAAATACTTCTTAAATATTAAGAGATTTTCTGCCTCTACCATCCTTACAGGCAGTGAGTTCCTTGTCTTATGATCAGTGTATGAAAGCTTGCATCTGAGCATGCACATTTCAAAGGCCTCTATTTTCTTCCTTGACTTATTGTCCAAGTTTCTGAGGTGTCCAGACAAGTGGATAGAATGTTGCATCTTATATGAGCTTTTCTCCCCCTCAATGCAAGCTTGAATTTTCTTGTTGTTAACACATCCATCATCTGCACAAAATTACTTCTGGCTACCTCTATCCTTCTTCTGACTTCTGCACCACATCTAACATCTTCAGTGCCAAGTCATAGACTCACAGAGATCCACAGCACAGAAAAAGGCCCTTTGGCCTGAGTTAAACTCAGACACTTCAATAACCAGAACACAGACTGCATGACACAAAGTGGGGAGAAACACTTGGCTAAGAAAGGCATGCTATGTTGGAGCTGGAGAAATAGGAAGGACTACATGAATTGCGTTGGTTGCTTGGCATGCAAAATTATGTAGGTCTGCGCTGATTATCAGAAAGTGAATTATTTTTCATAAGATGACAAGTCTCATGTGAGGGAAATCTTTAAGAAGAAAGAAGGCAACTGGTAGGTATCATTAAGGATGAGGATCTAGTTGCACTCCATGCTTGGATCATCAAAGTGCTAATATAAGCTTACAGTAAGACTTTCAGATTTAAAAATGCATCTCTGCCATATTCTAACAATGTTCAATGTTGACAAAGACTGAAAATTATGTTCTGCCAATAAGTATTTTGGAGCTATGGAGAACCAGTAGGGCAGCGGGATTAGTTGGATAGACCCTCCAAAGAGCCAGAACATCCACAAATGGAATGAACAGACACCTTCTAATTCTATCTATTATTTTCTAATGAAGCTAAAGACGCATTTTGTGAAACCATGTGAAGCATGGCTGATCCATAACATACTCCTCAGCCTCCAATGCTCCAGAGAAAATAGCCCCAGCCTATTCAGCCCCTCCCTATAACTCAAACCCTCCAGTCCTGGCAACATTCCTGTAAATCGTTTCTGCATCCTCTCAAGTTTAACAACATCCTTCCTATTGAAGGGCAACCAGAACTGTATGCAGTATTCTAAAACTGACCTCACCAATGTCCTGTACAGATGCAACATGACATCCCAACTCCTTTACTCAATGTTCTGACAAATGCAGGCAAGCAGGCCAAATGACTTCCTTACCAACCTGTCTAACTGTGACTCCACTTTCAGGGAACAATGCACCTGTACCCCTAGATCTCTTTCTTCAGCAACACCCTCCAGGGCCCTACCATTAATTGTGTAAGTCCTGTCCTGATTTGCCGTTCCAAAATGCAGCATCTCACATTTATCTAAATGAAACTCCATCTACCACTCTTCGGCAAATTGGCCCATCTGATCAAGATCCAGCAATACACCAAGATAATCTTCTTCACTGTTCACTACACCACCTATTTTGGTGTTACATGCAAACTTACTACCCATATCTGACTTATTCACATTCAAACCCCATTTATATAAATGACGAAAAACAGTGAACCCAGCGCCGATCCTTGTGGTACACTGCTGGTCATAGACCTCCAGTTCAGAAAAGCGATCCTCTAACACCACCTTCTATCTCCTACCTTCAAGTTGATTTTGTATCCAATTGGCTAGATCTCCCTGGATCTCATGTGATGTAACCTTACTAACCAATCTACCAAGCGGAACCTTGTCAAACACTTTGTTGAAGTCCATATAGACAACATCTACATCTCTGTCTTCATCAATCTTCTTTGTCACCTCTTCAAAAAACTCAATCAAGTTAGTGAGACATGACTTCCCATGTACAAAACCACGTTGACAATCCCTCTAAATTTAAATTTAAATAGTGCAACAGTTTAATAGAATCCTTTTGGACTGAGCTAAAGGATCAGTCATACCAGTCAAAGTATATTGTAGACAGTGGAACAATGGAAAAGAAATAAGAGAGAAAGCTGTAGACAAATTAGAAAGATGTGCATTGCCAATACAGCGATATTTGAAGATTTGTTATTCACAACTAACCTGGAAGAAGAAAACATTTGTAAAGAGAATGGGAAATTTATTTCAAGATCCAAATACTGTTTGTCAGTCAGTACATCATGATTCCAACAAGGAGGTCATTGGCTGACTGCTATTATAAGATAGCATCTCCTCAGAATGACAGTAACTGACTTCAGTTGTCTGCTATTGCATGTAAAAGGTGGTCTACATGTTCATTTACTTATTTGTATATTTCCTGTTACAAAAAAGGCAGCTAGTACAAGCTCTCCTCGTCTGACAAGCTATTATGAGAAATCATCCTTTAAATGGTCCGAGCAATGCATAGACATTCACTTGTGGCCTTAAAGTGGTACATTAATTTAAACACGGCTGTACTTTTATCAGTTCAATGAAATATTATGCAGTACTTGATATCCTTATAAAAAAAGTACTCTCTAAACTCACAAGCAGCACTAGCGGACATCTACTATTTAATTACACTCATCTTCTAGTTTCTATTTTTGATGAAAAATCTACATTGGATCTTTTTATCCTTCTTTTCTCCTTTTTAAAATGCTATACAGCTTTTGCATACATTTACTATTTCTTGTACTTAATTGTTGATTTCCAATATTTCCAGTTTTACTTTTTATCCCAATAATCAATGGTTTTTTTTGTCAATTTGAAATCAACAACGTGTTCACAGAAGGTCAAAAGCTGACACGTAATCACGACAATATAACAGTATTCATAGTAATATTCATTATCGCTTGAATTTCAATTAAATGTGGATACATTATATTTTCATGTTTCACACAAATAATATTTTAAGATGCACTGATAAAAACTCATATGGTGTCATTAACATAGTGAAATACCTCAAGGCATTGCCCTGAAGTCTTATCAGATGAAATATACCACATAAAGAATGGATGCCCAAAAGCTTGGTCAAAACAATAGGTTTCAAAGAACAACTTAAAGTAGGAGAAAAATATAGTAAGACAGAGAGGAGTAGTTAGAAAGCTGCAGAGTTTAGAGGCTAGATAGTGAAGGAATGGCCAGCATTGCTGCAGTAATGAGAAATGAAGCTGTAGAAGAGGCCAGAATAGCAATGCAGGATCTCAGACGGAGTTACAAAGAGAAGGAGAGACAAAGTCATGGAACAAACAGATCAGTATTTGAAAATTGAGCTTCTGTTGTTTTGGAACTAATACAGCTATTGAGGAGACGGTGCTGCAATTGAATTACAGCTTCTCCTTTTGAAGTTTGTGAGCATCACGAACATTGTGATGTCACCTGTTTCTCTTCAGTTATATGCCTCACTCAGTGGTGAGGAAATCATACAGCATTAAACGTATTGGTCAATGATTTTCCTGTATTGGTACCATTATGGTATATAAGCTTAGTGAAGGTAGGGGAGATGGGATTGTAATGGAATATGGACATATTACAAAGTCCTAGATAATAATTGTTCTCATTAACAGTCAGTATAACAGGCTCTTTATAACAGTTTGGTAAGACTGGGCACTTTCTCATAACAGATTGTTTATGGTCTTTGATATAGAAACCGGCTATTTAGTTATTCCCTGAAAGAAGACCTACATCCTGCCTTTTCTGTATGTCAACCTAATGAA